AGAGAGAGAGAGAGAGAAAGAGAGAAAGAGATAGGGGGGGTGAGAGTGGGAGTAGAGTGAGGTAGGAGTCAGGACATTGCATTGAGACCAGTCTTGAAAAAACCCATTAAAACATACTCAAAGGGTGGTTGACGTATGCTCCTATATAGTTTGCTCCTTATTTTTAAAAATCAAACTTCTATCGTCCTTATCTCTCCTCCTTCTCTTTTGGTGTTGGTTACTCTCTTGTAGCACCTCTAATTTTCGGCACTTATATGACCTAATTGTGTTGCAAATGCCGTGAATGGTTTTGGTAGGTCTCTGTTAGGGTACTGGCCGCTGTGAGGCAATATGCATCAGTTCTCCAGTGGAGGAAGACATCCCCAAGTGACTATTTGAATGAGTGTTGAAATAAGACAACGAAATAAAGGCTAAAAAGGGTTGGTGCTATGGTCAACAAGTCGTTAGTAGCTTGTAGAGATATGGGAAGAGGGTCTCTTTGTTCTCTTTCAGCACTTCAGCGGGTATGTTGTCATTTCCTGCTGCTTTTCCGCAAGCCAGTTCATCGATTACAGAAGAAAGTTAATCTTCTGTTGGTTTTGTGTCAAGACTGCTGGTCTGCCTTTGGGACGTTGTTGATCGCATCTTGAAGTTCCTCGTAAATCCAGTGTACTGTTAGGGTTGGGCTGTAGGCACTGGTGAAGTGGGCCTTTCCAGATTTAGTTTCCGTTTCCATGACAGTGATACGTTCGTATATTCCTTGGCAGGAGTGCTGGTCCTGTTCAACAATCTGTTGCGTATTGCAAAGCCCAGGCTGTGGATTCTCCTCTTAACTTCCTCACGACCCTTCCAGAAGAATCTTTCCCAGATAGTACCAGAGTTATTGAGTCTGGTCTCTTGCAGGGCAGTGATGTCTACATTAAGTCGTGTGAGTTTCCTGTCTATGATTGCTGTATTTCTGATGTCCTCTCTGTTATCCTGGTTGGTTGTGTCCATTCCGGTTATCATTGTTCTGACGTGCCAGGTCCCCAGTTTCCATGGGGTTAGTTTTTCTGAGGATTTTTTTGGGCCTAGAGCTGGGTTTAAAGACTGCCTTTCGGTTTTTGTCCTAGCTCCACCCTCCCC